CTGTGCCAAGTAAAGTAAACCATGGAGAGAAGAGAGACTAGGTCGAGTGCAAAACGTCAAGAGGCTACTAGGGAGATGACGAACAACACAACAATGGAAGGTGCGAATTCAAACATAAGTGCTTCAAAAATAGTCCCCGAAGCGGTCGTCGATACAGGTAATTTCATTGAAGTTGTTAATATTTGAATTTGGAAAACTAGAATAGCATCTGGAAACGAATCTGTAGTATCATTGTACTTCAAATTTCATGGGGTGCAAGGGGACGAAATGTGGGTTTAAGATCATGCACGAGCGGACCGAGTGGAGTGCAACATTTGGTGGTGGATGGTGCTGAAGAAGCAGAAACCGGTGCATCTAAAGAAGAATGTAAGTGCGTCTCATAGTGTTTTCAACTTAATCTTGAGTAACATTTGGAATGTTCAATAGGATAAGTATATGTGTGATAGATACCTAGTCTGGTCTTGATTTTGATTTGAGGAAAAATAAATCAATTGGTGGTATAGTTAAAAAATATGTGCAAACTCATAGACTACGGTGTGTGAGAAGAACATGTACTAACTGGAAATTCACTAGTAGGTTGAGTTATGTAACAATGGTTGTGCAGACGGTTGATTATTGGTGTGCATTGTTCTGTGGATGACTAATTCTGTTAATTAGCTTGTGCTAATTTAATGGTGCTAATTTACTAGAATGCTTGTGGAGACAGTAGATTATTGGTGTGCATTGTGCTGTGGATGACTAATTATGTTAATTAACTTGTGCTAATTTAATTGTGCTAATTTACTAGAATGCTTGTGGAGACAATAGATTATTGGTGTGCATTGTTCTGTGGTTGACTATTTGTGTTAATTAGATTGTGCCGATTTAAGGGTGCTAATTTACTAGAATGCTTGTGCAGACAGTTGATTAAATTAGCATGTGCGAATTTAATGGTGCTAATTTACTAGAATGCTTGTGGAGACAGTAGACTATTGGTGTGCATTGATTTGTGGATGACTAGTTATGTTAATTAGCTTGTGCTGATTAAATGGTGCTAACTTAATGTAATAGTTGTGTAGACAGTTGATTATAGGTGTGCATTGATCTGTGGATGACTAATTCTGTTAATTTACTTTAATGCGTATGGAAAAAAATGTTCTCTGTTATGCATTGTAGTGAATATTTTAAATAGAATCACCACAATGAAACGGGAGATTGTCAAACTAAGTTGATTGTTTTGATAATGCAGTGTTTTTCAGAAAGATGCAAATCTGAATAAAAGAAAAAGACTTCAAAAAGAAAAAGGCTTTGAAAAGGATGTTGACGGTAGCACAGACAACGATGATGATTTTGTATCAACAAAAGTGGATAGAAAAGTGCTAAGAAGATGTGATGGTATTAACAATGATGTCAGCAGAAAAAGAATGATTGAAACAGAGGTGAGTGTCCTTCAAACACGATCTTCTCCACGTCTACTGGTGAGAGCAATAAAAGCGATGAACAATGATCAAAAGAAAGCAGTCCAACAAATTGGATTTGGTGGCTTGCTCAATCTGGACATTTCATAGTTGCCCTACAAAATGGCATTCTAGGTTGTGGAAAATTTCAACCCAAGAAACTGCCCTCTAAGGCTACAAGAGGGACATAGTGTGCATATTTCAGATGAAGATGTGGCACGTGTATTCAGTTTACCAATGGGAGGAACGCAGATTGTGCCACAAGCAAACCACGAACCATGCAACATTCTGAAGGAGTGGAGCGCAATGTTTAAGAAAGGTGGGAGGAAAATTACACTGGATGATATAAGTGATGCCATGCTCTTGTGTGAGGAAGGTGATATATGGTTTGTGAGGCATTTTGTGGTGTTAGTTGTGACTCTCATTTTTTACAGTGGTGCAAATGGATATGCACACCCGTTGATAATGAACAACCTCTAAGATGAGAGCAAGATAAAGGGGCTTAATTGGTGTCGTTACGTAATATCATGCCTGATAGAGAATAAATTGAGTTGGGATAAGAACAAGAAAACAGCATTCAACGGTCCTTTACTATTTCTAATGGTATTGTTTAATGTATTGAATATATTTAATTCGTTAAAGTATTTTAAAACAACTAACACGAACTTTACCTTACATGTAGATGGTGTATGTTGATAGAGTCGTGCTCTATCAAAGAACTATTGAAAGAAAGTTACATGTCATCATCAGATGGAATGCATCCTTGTTGAGAGAAAGAGAAAATGCTGAGATCGAAGCCGGTGGTTTTGGGTTAGGGTATGTAGATGATCCATTGCAGCTGCATGGGAGTGATAACGTTGATGCAAATTCAGGGATCAGCGATGATGAACCTAAGGTCAGATTTGCTTGTTGAATCATTTATTTGTATGGGTGTTTATATCATTGTTATATATGTGTGTAGGTGTATGTGCGGATGTTTGCATAAAAATCAAGCTCTATAGCTGAGATTGTGAATGATGTAATAACAATTGCCAATGAAGATCCAACTTGCATAATGGAAAAGGAGAGTATGAATAAACTCCATGAGGCAGGAGAAAAACTTATTGCTTTTGCCAAAAAAAATAAGATACAGCACAATAAGAGATGGAGAATGATGCAATCGGTGAAGAGCATGGTGGAAATGGTGTAGAGCTTGACGATGATGTGTTCTGGAGTTACCCAACCACTCTTTCCATATTAGACACGACTAAGAAAAATGGGGTGAAGGTAGGAATGACCAATAAGAATACATCACCATTGCCATCATTCTCTATTGGACTGACATAGCAAGAGAGGGATGGGGATTTGGAAAGACAATGCCCGAAAGAGATGGGAGGACCATTAAATACAAATAAAGAAGGCATTCAAGATAGAGTGTGCACTGAAGAGGTAAGCTTTGTTAGAAAATTCACATATTTTTGGACATTATTGGAGAAATGTAATAGTGTATATGATGTTTAATGTGGAGTTTCGTTTTTATTTGGGTAGGATGAAACTGAGGAAGTGTATATTGAGAAAGAGGAGGGTGCAGATAGATTAGCTCCGGTGGTGAGAGGAAATGTATGCAAAATCACTTAGTTATGTGTGCATTTGGGTATATGCTAAACGGCTAAGTATTATATATTGAGAATTGTGCAAAACATGTAATGTACAGGTGCAGAATAATGTAGAGAGTGCAGTTACAAGGGCAAAGCGACAACAAAAGATGCCTGAGGTGTTAAAGTCACCATACTTGTTAGGAGCAATAGATCATGTTCAAATGTGCACATCAATGGAGAAAAGCGTAATGGCATGGATGTTGAACAGTGAGCAGTGTGGAAGGTGAATTGAAATTATTGATATTGAGAACAACCCTTGAGAACATAATGTGAAAATATAATAAATATATTGTGTGTTTGTAGGGAGGAAATATTTTTTAAATATGAAGAATTCGAGGTTACAATGAAAGAGATGTGGTCGTTGCGTGAAAACCAACATATAAGCGCGTATGTTTTGGATGCGTGGTCCACGATGCTTAATGCTAGGGAAAGTTTGAGGAGCAGTGATTCACTGTGCCGAATATTTGCAAGAAATATTGATTGCGTATGTGATAGTGTAAAGCAAAATTTGAAACTTGTAATTTGAAGTGTGCTTTAAGTGTATGTTTCATGTGCAGGTGCATAGCTTTGTGGGTGAACCAACGCCTAAGAAAGATAGACCTCATATATTCAATGCTGCTGTCGAGTTTGGTTTGGCAGCATTGTCGGCAGAAATAACCATAGAGCATGTCGAGTTGGTAAGTGTGTATGATAATATGTGTTCATGCATGCATGTCATAGAAAATAAATTTTTTATCTAAATTTTGATGCAGTTTTTCTTCCCGATTATGAAACCACGTCATTGCTATGTTATATGTTTCAACCTGATGAATCAGCAGTGGGAAATTCTTGATGTATCAACGTCTACACTGAAAGTTGCTGATAAGTACGGTCAAATGCCTAGCATTGTGGTAAAAGCAATTGATTTATATATGTAAAAATTATAAAAAGTGTGGGTTCATTAATAGATACTAAAAATAATGATTTCTATTTTTGAATTAAACAGAAAGACATGTTTGTGCACTACATGACTGTCAACGGATTGGGTAAAAAGGTGAAGGGGCTGAAAAAAGCAAAAGTGAACAAAGTTTTGATGAATTGGCACCATGAAAACAATGAGTTCGAATACGGTGTGCTCACAATGAGGCTAATGGAGACATATATGGGCCAAGGCACTAAAGGTTGGGACATGAGAATTAAAAAGGGAGACAAGAAGAATATCGATGCATTAAGGGTTAAATATTGTGCCACGGTTCTTTCAGCGGAGTGCAATGAGATGAAGAAAAAGAATGAGGAAGATGTTAAGGAGTATGCAAAATTGAAGAAGCTGAACAAAGGAAAAACAAAGAAGTGAAATGAGGTGTTTGAAAAACATTACTACATTTGATTGTGGAATTTCTTAATTCCAAGATTCGGGTTTTTCTTATGATGTTATTTTGTGAAGGTTAAAACGTTTTAAGAGTATTTAGAATATGTTTAGACAAGGTGTTTTTGCATGGGTTTGATGACTTTGATATAACATTGAAATCTTTAATGGTTGCTAAGTAGTATATTGATCGTGTGAGGTGAAAATTCAAATGAAACATATGAAATGGGAAAAAGAAGTGAATGTTATTGTGTGCAATTTAGAATATTAAACTGGTGCATTATTTGACATTTATGTGTGCAATGGGACAATGCAAAGTGGTGCATTATTTGACATTTACATGTGCATAAAAAGCATACAATTGTGCAGCAAATTGCAATACAACAAAATTCATTGACATTCATGTGACAAAAAATAAGGGTTGATTACATGTAAATCAAATTGCACAAATAAAGATGAATTGTATTGGTGTCGTGAATTTTTTAAAATTAGAAGGTGCGGAAAAAGTGCAAATTTAATGAATGTCTAAAGAACCATAAGATTGTAATCATTAAATAAAATGACTAACAATAACAAAGAAAATTAAACAAAGTAAAACAAAACAATTGAAGTATGAGCATCAAGTTTTACAAAGAAATCATAAAGTAACAATAGGTAAGTAGCACATTTCAAGCCGATTTATTCATGGGGCAATTACATCTATCATGGTGACACATCTCGTTACAAGTTCTACATAGTCTTAACTTTTTCTTGGATTGTATTGCAACTTCTTTACCACCTTTTAAGCGCTTGCCACAACCCTTGTTCCTAGCTTGTTGCGGCGGAAGTACATTGACCTCTGAGGGAGCTGTTGCACCACAAAATTGCTGAATGGTGGAATTCTTGCTTGTGACGTGTGCACTATGATGCTGTGATGAGAGCAGAATAGTCTTCTGTTCCTTTATTAATTGTGCAAACTGAACAAAAAGATTAGGCTTATCCTCAATAATAGCAACACAACAATGAATGTCAGACCATAATCGATTCACATGTAACTTTCTCTCCTCATTGGTCACACATTGGCCAAAAACGGTATCGCCAATATCATACATGGGTTTAATGATACTATTTTTACACCAACGACTGAGAACAAAGTCAGCAGGAATGTTGTGCAATTTAAGGTCTTTAAACACAACAAACATGTGTCTACAAACCAACCCAACTCTATCGAAGTCTTTGCAACTGCATGTTGTCGTAGATGCGATTAAAGAATGCACAACATTGAAAATCATACCACGCTCATCATTTATAACGTATTCACGCACACCATTTACTTCTTGAACGCTTAAAACGGGACATGAGAAACATGCAACACATATCTCCTTCTGAATTTCATAAAAAATGGAGAGTGTACACAGATGATGCATGCTTCTCGATAGGTAGCGATATGTTGTGAACAGGTGTGCAAGAGTCAGAAATGTGGCTCAATTTTGAATTCTTGTGATGCTGAGAATCCATTGCACTCTCAAACTGCAAGAAAAACTCAACAAGGCTGAAATGAGGGTTAGTAAACTCCCCGAAAAAATTATTTTCACTTTCGGATCGCGATGTGGTCCTAAGTAAACCGACCATGAATAAATCCCTAAAAAAAACGGAATCCAATAACGTCGAATAGAAAACATATGAGATAACCATGTGTGGCTCACCAAATCATATTCCACAATGACTTGCATCCATTCCTTTTAAAAATCTTAGGGTGAAAGATAGTGACTCCAAACTACAGAATTAAGCTTCGACAAAAATTCTTCATTACTGCTAAGAAGAGGACTAGCCTTCTCAGTGAGCTTAGATATTATGTGCCACATGCAGTAACGTTGGCGAGTATTGGGAAAAACTTTTCCAATTGTAATCCTCATTGACGGGTCTTGATCAGTAACAATACACTTTGGTGGGTGACCCATTGCATTTAGATAACAATGGAACAACCAAACATATATGATTCAACATCTTCCTTAAATAGAAGACCGGCACCAAATGTGACACATTTTTTGTGATTATCGACATCGGTGAAAGGTGCAAAAACCATATTATATCTGCAAAGAGAAGTGCATTAAGCTGGTGTGCGAAGCTACAATTTATTAAAGTACGTGTGCATAGAAGCAAAAATCGTTGTGCATTACATATTAATTGGATGAATAACATATTATTGAAAATACACGCCAATCAAAGATGTAACTTAGTTCTGCAGAAAATAGTGCTTACGAGTGCGGGCGGTTACATGTTCATAAAATAAACACATGTTTGAAATTAAACATGAGTTTAATAATACTATTTTAAGGTGCAATGGATTGCACCAAAATGAAGCATCATTAAACGAAAAAATACACAAAAATATGAAAAAGTAGGTGTGCATGGAAACAGAAATCGGTGTGCATAATATATTAACAAATGAATAACTTATTATTTAAAATAAATGGCAATGAAACATGTAAGTTACTTGTGCATAAAATAATGATTATGAGTGCAGACAGTTACATGTGAACAAAATAAACACATGCTTGAGATTTTATGAGTTTAATATTACTATTTTAACACAACCAATTATTTTTAAGGTGCAATGGATTGCACCAAAATGGAGCATCATCAAACGAAATAAATACACAAAAAATGAAGTAATTCATGCAATAGAGAATGTGTGATTACCAAAAAATAAATAATAATAAAAATATTTGTTGAGGTTTATTCCTTCAACTCGTAGGCCCAACACGTAACCTAAGAGTCTCGAGTGGAAGATGGACAAGTTAAGATGAAAGAACAAGCATGGAAAAGACCCAATAAAGAGTGTTTATTCATTGAACGATTACAAGCCGAAGGGCCGGACGTACAATGCTATGCTACGAACTGATACTATTGCTAGAGTGCTAGAGTGCTAAATTGTGAACCCTTTACACTGAAATAAATGCTACTATTTATACTGTCAATGGGTGGTTGGATGTGTTGACGTGGCTGGCTGTGGACGTCATGATCCCAACCACCAAATCTTCTGCATTAAATGCGCTTCCCGCCAGGATCTTGGTTTCTCGCCATGGGATGGGGACGTTCGTCCCCAAGGGCTTGTCTCCTGCTGGAGTCCCGATCCTCTGCTAAGGAGAGGGGACGTTCGTCCCCATGCACTTGAGCTATCCTTGATCTATTCTTGAGCTATCCTTGATCTGTCCTTGAGCTATCCTTGGCATCCTATCACGAGGTGGGGACGTCTGTCCCTGTGTACCTTGCGGGAATCTTGGTCCTGGATACCTGCTGATAATGGAGTACGTACGTCTCCTGACCCTTGGGCCTTGGTACCTGCTGGTAGTAGGGTACATACGTCCCCTGACCCTTGGGCCTTGGTACCTACTGGTAGTAGGGTACGTACGTCTCCTGACCCTTGGGCTTGAAGCTTGGCCTTCTTCTTGGGCTTCCGACAGGACGATCATAGGAGGTCCTTGTGGGCCTTCTGGGGACGTTCGTAGGAGGCCCATATGGGTTGATGGGCCGGCCCTTGTTGGGCCATTAAACCAACACAAGTCCCCCACTTCTGATGTTCCGAGCATGCTCGAGACATAAGGAAGTCGAAATGCCCCCGCCGTACCGCCCTAACCGACATCCCTGATGTGAGGGTTGCTTTTCCGGCTGCTGCTCACGGGGCCCTAGGTGGCAGTTATGCAGGCATGTTTGATTTCCGATGTAAAAGTAATCATTTCGCGCCTGTTCGTCTTCGCGCGACACGTGTCCCTAGGTACGCTCCTCGCCACGTGTTGTCTGTGGATTGGTCAATAGAGAGAGGCGTATCATCCTATAAATATCGGGCTTTCTGTGGGGATTAGGGTTTCCAATTTTCCACCTTACTCGCCATTTGTTTTCAGAGTTCTTCTGTAAGCATTTTCCGGTTCCTTGTTTCGCTCTTCGAAGTTCGTCAGGTAATTGAATCCATTCTCTTCCTTTCCTCTGCTTCATCTTTCAGTATGGTCTGTTCTATGGAGATATCTTCTGAATCTGGTTCTGGGTCGGGCTCCTCTACCGGCTCATCCTCTGGTTCGGGCTCCAGTTCCCGTTCCTCGGGGGAGGCGAGCACTTCCGGCCATTCTGGTTCCTCTGCTGTGGTGGGGCAGGTTGTGGTGGATATGGCTGCCCCTGGAGGTGTGGGGGCAGAAGTTGATATGGATATCGCCCCCGGAGGTGATCAGATGGCAGCAATACAACCAGATGTGGGGGCAGAGCGTCCCACCGACTATGATTCTGGCGACGAGGCCGAGGAAGGAGATGATATGCAGGTGTTTGATCTAGGCGTTCCGGTGGACGTCTCCTGCCATATTGTGCTGATTCATAATGTTTCTGGGATCCAGCAGTCTTTCTCGCGCAAGGCTTTGAAGGAACTGCAGACCCTCCTTCCTCCGCCGTTCGCCTACAGTTTGAGTGGTGCAGATAACCTGTTCATGAGACGTCCGGGGATGATCATGGTACATCTAGACTCCATCAAGGCTGGACTGCGCTTCCCTCTTCACCAGCTTTATCTTGATTTCTTCCATTGTTTCAACGTTGTCCCGGCCCAATTCATGCCGAATTCATATCGGCTCATCTCCGCTTTCATCGTCCGTTGCTGGTTGGAAGGATTTGCCTCGAGCCTAGACCTCTTCCACTACTTCTTTCAGGTCGCTCCCCAGAATGTTGATGGGTTCCTCAGCGTGGCCGCACGTCCCCACCTGAAGCTATTTGAGGGGGGCCTGACTTCCATTCATGATTGGAAGAACCGCTTCTTCCTCCATTATGCGGACGAGTGGCTTCCCGTGAGGTGGAATGGGTATCCCCCGAAGATAAAACAGCCAAAGCTGTCCACAGAATTGAATGATGCCATTGAGAAGTTGAAGTAATTTTTTACTACCCAGGCACTTTCTGATGCAGGGATAGGTACCGCATGTGATCCCTGGATTAGCATTTGTCCGTGTTTATCTTGTGGGCCCGGGCGGTCCAGTCCCTGAGGTGAGTGCCTTCGAGATTTGCACCGCCTGATTCTAATACTTCCTTGTTTCTTGTTTCAGGTCCTCCCCTACCGAAGAGAAGAAGGAAGATCACTCTTGGATGGCTCTTCGTGAATCCAACGCGGCCAAGGCGCGTGCTGCGCTGGAGGCGAGATGAAAAGCTACCCAATCCTTCGAGGCCACCTCCTCTGCCGCATCTCAGGCTGACAGACGTGTTGGGGACGTCGAGCGGTAGCTTATTGCGGCTATGACCGGTCAGAGCTCAGAGGTCCCGGCTGCTGAAACCGGCCCGATTTTAGATGCGGAGCTGATGAACGTCCCCCCCCCCCCCCCCCCCCCCCCGCTGGTGGGCAAACGGACAAGGGGAAGAAGCCAAAGAGGCAGTGCATCGAGCCCTCCGGTCCCAAGGCCGCTGAAACCGTGCTGCCCTTTCCACATCGCACGGTTCATGAAGTCTGGAGGGATATGGCCCTTCAAACTGGGGTGGAACTACCAGCCCGTTCCTCAGACGTGGCTGTTAAACATGCCCTAGTGTTGACCTTCGAGGTACAACCCTACCTCTTAATGCTTTCCCTCTCTCTCTCTCTCTCTCTTTTATAAAGCCCTTCAACCTCTATCTACCGTTCGTCTCTTTATGATTCATGTTTTTTCCCTTGTAGGCTGGACTGAGCCTGTTGCAGGCGGCGGTTACTCGGGAGCAGGATGCCGCCGAGGCCAAAAGGAGAGCTGACGAAGCTCTGAAGGAAGAACGGAAGGTCGTGCGGGCAAGAGAGGCGGCTGCTTTGGCTGAGAAGAAAGAGCTCAAGGCCGCTCTGGATCAGGCCCAGAAGGAGCTCCAGGCCGCCCGAGATCAAGCCCAGAGGGAGAAGCAAGATCTTCTTGCCAAGGTGGCCTTAGCAGAAAAACATGGGATCTCCTTTGTCCCTGCTGTTGTTCCTGATCCGGCCTCTGAGGGTGAGGCCGCTCCTTGCGACGTTCTTACCCTGGTCCTTGATGTTGCTGAGTTTAAGAAGACGTCGCAGTTTCTGAAGGCAACGCACGACTACTGCCGGGGGGTGGGGGAGACGTTTTTGAAGATGAGCTACAGGCTGTACCGCCCAAGAAACGCCTGGAACACGGAGCGAAGCTCTTGAAGAGGAGGCCGCTCGGTTCTAAATGGATCTTTCCTCAAGTCGGTTGTCAACCCTTCCACGTGGATGATTACACAAAGAACGAGGAGCTCCGACGGGTCATTGCCAAGATTGATCGGAATCAGAGACGAACGGAGGCTGTGTAGAGAGGGGAGGCCCCTGAACCCCCTACCCCCGATGTCAGTGATGCTGAGGAGGAGGTACCTGATTCTCCCGCCCGTCGTTCTCCCGCGCATGGCTTCCTGGAGTAATTCCTTCCCTGTTCTCGTTTTTGCTTGCTTGTATGATCCGACCAGTAGAGCCGAAGAATAAAGTCCTCTTTGTGCTCACTATTTGTCGAATGATTATTATTTGATCTTCCCTTATCCGTTCGTATCTTTATCTTCTCGTGTCTGAAACCTTTTTTGGAGGGGATGGGGACGTTCGCCTGTTTCCCCTGCCCTTTTTCCTCTCTCTTGGCCGATGGGTTGTATTGGGTCACCCCCGCCATCCGGGATTACGGCCCAACGGGTATGGCGACGTCTGTTTCTTTGTTTGTAAGGGAAAGGTCCCCAACACATGCCCTTGGATGGCGCGGATATCGAAGCGTTATTCCTGTCGCACGATATACCAAACACGGCTTGCCACGTGTCCTCCCTTTGTTTGGGGGAACCGGCGGTGGAGCCTATAAGTATCCCATTTTCCTGGTGGAGTTATTGTGCTTCCTTCCTTACCTGTTATTCTGTCAGATTGGTTTCTCTCTCTAAAACCCCTTAGCCTTTCCCAGTAAGTCCTCCTTTATCTTCCGCACATTGCCATGGTCTCTTCTTCCCGTAGGCGTTCTGAGGGGCCGTCTGATGACGGCTGTTACTCCGGTGATGACCTAACGGTCTATAAGTGTGGGATGCTGCCTCGGCCTCCCCGTTATTCTCTTAATTTCAGCAACGTTTGGCGTTAGCGCCAACGTCTGCTTTCTCGTGAGAGAGGAATGATTCCCCAACTGTTCCCTCCCCCGCAAGGCTGGGATGCACGGTCCATCCGTCATCCCATGCGGCATTTGCCCCGGTCATGTGGTTGTTCACCTGGATTCCGTGCTTGCCAGATTCTTTTTCCTCTTGCTGCCTTTCCATCTATCTCTGTTTAGGGGCCTCGGAATAACCCCGGCGTAGCTCGTCCCGAACTCCTATCGGATCATTGCTGGCTTCATCATTCGTTGTCATGGCGTGGAGGTCGTCCCTTCTGTGAATCTGTTTCTTCATTTCTTTCGGCTTTCTCCCAGCGGGCAAACGAGTTATCTTAACATTGTGGCCCGTCCGTGGAGGGTGCTCTTCTCCAATAATCCACCGAGTCCGAACGACTGGGAGGAGAGTTTATTTTTCGCCGAAGTTGGATCTCCTCTTCCTTTCTCTGACTGGTGGAATGCCTTCCTGGTCAAGTTTGAGCCCATGACCCTGAGCTCGGTCGAGCTGGAGCAAGCCGCACATATTGCTGGTGAGGGAGTCCAAAACCTACGTTTGCTGGTGAATGACAGCAATCGGAACAAGGCTGGCATAGGTACGTCCTCGTTACAGCCCGGGTTTTGGACCTCCGTATCGTGACTTTAGGCATCGCTCTAACCTTTGTTTTTTCCTTATGCAGGGCTTTTCCCCAAGTCCCCCGTCATGGTTTCTCGTGGCGGCACCCCTCCTACCTCAGATCGGGCCGATGTGGGTAAGGGGAAACAGATTGTGGTCGATGATCTGTGCCTGAAGAAACCCAAGGTGAAGGACCGTGTTGGGGACGAACGGTTGTTCAAGAAGCCTCGTCGTGAGGAGGGATCTTCCACAGGTGTGGTGGTCTTAGATGGGTCGGATGATGAAGCTGCCCCCCCCCCCCCCCCCATCAAAAATCAGCCCTCCACTTTGGTGGGTAAGGAGACGTGTGTTCCCCCTCCGCCCGGTCCTGAAAACTCCTTCTCTGACATCATCAAGTTCTTCGGGCTTGGTCCCCGTGCGGAGTCGAAGAAGCTGTTTGGTCAGATAACCTCCTCCATCTGGTGTTCTTTGGGGCTGAGAGTTCCCCGTGATTTTGATGCCCATGACAGCCCGGTGTATCTTCATGAATGTGGCCTTAGCACTCTCAACAAAGCTGCCATTTACTTCAGCAAAGCACGATTCGCCTATGATGCGCAGGACCGTGTCTCTGCCAAAATGCGATGTGAAGCCGAGGGCCTTGTGAAGACAGCCAAGGAGCGTCTAGGCAAGATGCAGCAAGAGTTGAATGTCGCCCTTGGCCTTGCCAAAGAGAGTGTCTCTTTACAGGAGACGATCCGGAAGCAAGTCGAGGAGCTGCAGCTGCTCCGTGCCAAGATGACCGCCGTGGAGAAGGCTGACGTGCAGCTTCGCCCAGTTGGCGTAGAGGGGGTTGTTCCTATTTTTGAGGCCGATGTTTACAAGATCAAGAATGCTGGATTCATCGAGTTTCAAAAGCCCAAGGCCTATGTTGATGTTGTGGATGTCTGTGCGAAGAGACATCTCGCTCGGCACATCGGGGAGTATCTGGCATCCTGTCCTGATATGTTGCAGGATGGCATAACATTGATGCGGAAGACCTCTACAGGTCAGGAGTTCGTTGAGGAGCTTGCCGATGACTCTTACGCCAAAGGGATGATCGATTTTGTGGTCGGCAACCTCCCGGTTCTTGAGCGTTATCTCCCTGCTCCCTTTGACCTTGAAGCTGCCGGGTTCAATGCTTCGTTTGCCGAGGCTTATGAGGGGGCTTTGAAGTTTCTCCCGGAGAAATCGCAGGGGGGAGATAGTAGATGGCCGGCCCTTCTTCTTAGCTGAGGGATTTTGTCAAGTTCTGCAGTCCTGTTGACCTTCTGAACTCGATTAACTGCTCCCTAATCATCCTGCCATGAACAATCCCTCTGGCCGGATCCTGGTGAGACTTGTAGAGGTCATGGCGCACTTCCTTGCTTGGGCCATAAAACATGACAACTTTCACTATGTTGTAATTCTGATTTCACTCTGAACTCATGTATGATATGTACTCTCCGTCCGGTAGAGCCGATGAATAAAATGTATCACTTTATTGCTACGATCGTCTTTTATTCCTTGATGTTGTTTTTCTTTCTTCGGTCATCCGTTCGCCGTACCCGCCCTTGGGCCCGGTCCTTGAATCCTGGGCTTTAGTGTTCCTCGTCGAATGTTGGTGAGGAACGGCTTTTCCCCCTTTGGGGATATTTTGTTTGATCCTCTTTGGGATTGTTTTGTTTGATCCTCTTGGGATTCTTTTGTTTGATCCTCTTGGGATTCTTTTGTTTGATACTCTTGGGATTTTTTTATTTGATCCTCTTGGGATTCTTTTCTCTTTCGTCCCATCATCCGCTCGTCGTGCTCGCCTATTTGGCCCGATCCTTTGGACCCTGAGTGGGGCTAAGCCTTCGCAGTCCGTGAGAAACGGTTTTTTCCCCTTTGGTGATTCCTTAATCCTTCGTTCCATCATCCGCTCATCGTACCCGCCCATTTGGCCCGGTCCTTTGGATCTTGAGCTGAGCTAAGACGTTGTAGTCTGGTTTACCTGCTCGTTTAGCCCGAACCTTTAGATCCTGAGCCGAGCGTAGCCGACGTAGTTAGTGAGGAATGAGTTTGTCCCCTTTGGGGATTCCCCAGCCCATTTTTTATGATTTTTTACCCCGGAAGGTAAACCACCAAAATCAGTGGGGCAGAAACCGGGGGTCAACTGCCAAAATATTATTAATCAAAAAGGTTACAAAAGGAGAAGGGGATCAAACCAAAACTCCTCACAAAAAGAAAATCAACAGATAATAAAGGGATACCTAAGGCATCCATCTTAATAGCCCCATCCAGCTCTTTGGGTACTGATTGACCCAACCTCCATATAAAAGGCTTTAAAAGCTTAAGTTTAGCAGCCTCCTTTGCTGCCTTATTAATCTCGTACAAAATAGGATTCAGCAACAAGCCCAACTGATTGCGGCCCAAACCCAAACCACCTGAACCCATCAAATGCGAATAGGAAACATCCGCCTCCACATTAGGAAACCCCAAACCCTTCCGACCATCCAATCGCCTGAGCGAAGACTTCGTCTTCTCCAACGCTCGATCCACTCAGAGGGAAACCCTCTGCTGCCATTAACGCACCCGCATGGTCTCTCAACAGGAAGCCGGCAGCCGATTTCCCAAAGTTTCTGAAGATTACCCAGTTTAGCTTCACATGCGGGCTCCTCGGCTTCATCCATCGAAGAATCTGAGATTTTCTTAGCTTGAACGACATAGGTAGAAATCCAACCTCTATGAGTTTATCAGTACCTTTAATCTTATCATTAGCTCAACACCATGGTAACATGTAGTTGACAATTTTTTTAATAACCACATCCTTGACCGGCGGTGAACCATTTATCATAGAGTCCCAGATCCAGATATGCCATGCTATCACCCCAGGTAAAATTAAAATATACTACGTATAATTTATCCATTGATTTACATTTGGTTGATATCCACCATGTCATTATCTGTCCTTTGATGTTTGATGCTTTGCGATTTACAGCCAACAGCGAATTAGCGAAAAAGCTCTAAATAGAAGCTTCTAGGGGACACAACAGCAAGATGTGGTCTTGGGAGATGCAATTCTTTTTACAGAAGAGGCACATAGTTGGGTAAATTGCAGAAAATGCAACCATCCTTTCCGAAAAGGGGAGCCCTTTAGTCCACAACCTCCATAGGAAGACACTGATCTTAGGCACCTGCTTCGGATGCTAGATAAGATCATTAGACAAGACCCTCCCCCTTTGAGGCCATATAGCTTGATAGGCTGATTTTGATGTAAATGTGCCTTCTTTTGTGTGTTTCCAAGTAATGTTTTGTGAGTTTCTAATCACCATATCTCTGCCTTCTCATGAATGAGGCTGATTCTCCTCCAAGTAGGAGAATCAGTTGGCTTAGACTCTCCCAGAACCCGTTTGCCATATAGGCTCCTTACCAGATCAGTCCAAATTGAATCACCCTTTTGATAATCCCACCATATTTTCATAGTAGAGACCTTTTGAATATCAACCAAGGACCTAATGCCTGCACATTTTAGTGTAGCTAATCCATTGATGTTTCAACTTGTTATTTGCATACCCCACATTTTAGTGTAGCTAATCCATTGATGTTTCAACTTGTTATTTGCATAGCCTCAGAAAAACGCAGCAACCTTTCTTTTGATCATAGTAATGACTGACCTGGGCAAGTTAGTTACTTCCAACAAATGAAATGGTAAAGAAGTAAGCACATGCTTAATTAACACCAATCTTCCCCTTGGGATAGCCACCGTTTACTCCAAGTAGATAACTTTTTGTCAAAAGACTCTAAAAGGTCTTTGCAGTGAGATATTCGGGTGCTTCCTTGGTGAAGCTGAACACCCAGATACTTGAGAGGTAATTTAGCTACTTGCATTTTCAACCATTCGATCAAGACTTCTGGAGGGTGCGATATACAAAAACTTCCGTTTTTCATTAATGGCAACTTGGTAAATTGCTCAACTTTTATGCCTCTTTATTTCATTAATAAATAAAATCTTCTTTCAGCGATCCGTAACTTTGGTCTCAATATTCTCTCTTCCTTGATTAGTTCTTCGATTCCAGTTCGAGCTTCTTCCAATCAATTCTTTTCATGGATGAACACCAAGGGAGTTGCTTCTTCCCAAAGTTGAACAAACCTTACACGAGCATCATTCCGGTAAGAGGATATTTCAGAAATTGCCTTTCTTGACCGTTCCGAGCGATGTCATTGCTATTAGCTTGTTAGTGAGCCTAAGCCTTCACCTCCCATACGATTCCCTACAGAAAAGAACTTCCAATGACCTCTCCCATTGCTCGACTTCTCCCTGTGCCGAGCTAGAAGCTTCCCTCTATTGAAAGAACAACAATAGCATGTAGCAGACCGGGTTTCTTGTAAATGAACAGTAACTCGATCAACTCTTCTTCCTTTTAGATATTTATATCTGTACATTTATAAAAAGAAGTTTCACATGTTTCCTGTTCTTCATTTTGGGTGCTATAAACAATATTTTCACTTGTCAAAATGTTGAATTTTGTTTATGTCTACCAAGTATTTGTTAAAATGTTTCAATGGTAATTGTTGAAATGGAGTCCATTCAGGAATAGGATTTACAATAACTTTTGAAGGAAGAACTGTTTGGCATTGGTAAAACAAATAATCTATTTTTTTGTTCACCCATTTTAAACTAAATCAAACTATTAGTCACAAATTTACTAAAAGAATATGATGTCGAGTATGGAATAGCACTGGAGTGAGATAAGTTTAGAGTATTTCAAACTTTAGTTGTTCTAAATATACATTTTCAGAGCACAAAGCTATGTATTATGTTAGGACTATTAAGTGTTTGTTAGAATGTGTAAACGGTAATGGGATTCATTTGAGAGTAGGAAACGGTAGATTTTACGATTATGGGAGTATTAAATGTTTGTTAGAATGGGTAGAGTTTACGATTTACATTTATGTTGAAATTCAATAAAAGTCCTATCATTTATACAAACATTTATGTTAAAATTTAATAAAAGTTATGTTTTTTGAGTTAATAGTTAGAGTAATTTGAGTAAAAGTTATGTGTTGACAGAGAATGTAAACTCAAGTTGCAATCACTAATTTTAAAGTTGTTATGTACTTTACTTGGATTGATTTAGTGTAAGGAATAAATGTTTTTAGATTTTGATGATTGATAGCCGTTATATTTACTTGTGTTTAACATAAGTATTTATAAGTATTTGTTGAAGAAACGAAGAGAAATTGGGAAAATATCTTGAGAATGAGAGTTAGAGCATTAAACATTGTGATGAAC